AGAAATAATGACACTTTAGGGCTATCAAAAAATCTAACCATCGATGTAGAGATTTTTGCACCTTGTTACTTGGAGACTTGAGAAAAGGCAATTTCTAATGTCTCTTACTGTCTTCTAAGATGCTGCTATGGTTTGGACATGGTTTGCCTCCCAAAGGCTCGTATGCTGAAGCTCAGGGTGGTGGTATTGGGAGGTGGTGGAACCTTTAAGAGGTCTGGCCTAATGGTAGGTAATTAGGTCATGGGGCTCCACCTTCATTAATGACTTAATACTATCTCTTGAGATCATAACTTGATTAGTTCCCTTGAGAATAAATTGTTAAAAGTGAGATGGGCACTTCCCCCAAATCCTTTTTCCATATGTACTGCTCACTACTCTCACACTTTTTTTCCACCATTGGGATGCCATCCTTTGTAAGGCCTTTACCAGAGCCAACCAAATGCTAGCATCAGCTCTTGAACCCTAAGAACTCTGCACTAAGCCTCAGGCAATTTTGTTATAGCAACTAAGAATGGGCTAAAATAGATGCCATGATTTTAGGCTCACCGGGTTGTATCCTGCACAATGGCACTTACTATTTTAAAAATGATGCTTTACATTTCTTCCCTCATGAAAACTTCCCAATTCTTAAAAATATTTATTCAATTAAATTCATAAAATGAGACTAATGATAAGTGCAAAATGTTAGTTTTCAAGTGGTAGCACATAAATTATTTCATTTGGTGCTAAAAATGGAGTGAAGTGTCCAGGGAAGTTATTATTTTGAGAAATCAACTGACCAGCTTAGGGTTACAACTCTTAATGAGGAAAGCCAGAAATAGAATTGAGATTTTTTTTTTTCCCCTTAGTTTCTCTAGAATTGAGGTTGGTTGGTATATCATTCCTTCCACCCCACAGGGAAGCAAAAATTATTTACATCACAGTGGAAACAGTTCTCTTCCCTCTTTCCCAACAGGAGTCAATGCAAAACTCCACAGTGGCTTGGCCTTGAATCAAAATGGTGGCAGGGAGCAAAATAAATCATGTTTTTTAGAGAACTGCTTTTAAAGGTGACAGCTTTTCAGTGTGAAAAATTACACAAACACCGTCCAGTGTGTAGACTGTGAAGTTAAGCAGTTTAAATTTATCAGGTACAAATGAAGGGAGGACAATTAAGCTAAAGGGCATTTCCTGTGCAAAGGCAGAGGCTGAGAAAGTATAGAGGGTGTTACGGGAAGACCACAGGAACTGCAGCAACAGCCAAGGATGGACAAGTGTGGGAAGAAAGATTGGGATAGGCTGTCTGAAAACACCTCAATGCTACCTAGAGGAGTCTGAATTTTACTTTTAAAAACTCATTTATCAAACAATATGCCAAAGAAGTTTTAAGCTGCGTAGGAATTACATGATTGTTTTTTTTAAAAGTTCTTAACCCAGTGCTATGAGTTTCAGTAAATTTTGTTAGATTAGTGCACTTTGTGCATATGGTTTAAAAGGTTTGCTTTGACTCCCACTGTGAGAAGGGCCAATGGGTGATTAGGTCGAGCAGCTCAAAACTGTTGAAGTAAAGAGTGAAGGCTGTGTTTATTTATGTTTATTTAATAGAGGCAGAAAGTATCCTTCATCTAAGTGATGTCCACGGGTTAGCACCTATGCTTTGAGACATGCACTGAAGGCACTGTTTATGGCCAACAAGGAACAAGGATTATTAAGGGAAGGTGACAGCCCAGAGAGAAATTAGATGAAATGAACAGGGCCAGAGAAGGGCACTAACTTTGCTGAGTATTAACCACACTGGGCTAAGCTGTGCTAAATGCCTTATGTATTATCTCATTTAAGCCTCACAAGAACCCTGTAAGGCAGACACAACTCCATTTCCCAGATGAGGTTCCTGGGGCAAAAAAATTAAATAAATAAATAAATAAATAGGCAAAATATCATTGAAATGTTTCTGAAATGTTGAAACAAAACAAAATTCTACTTGTTAATTCTGTAAGCAGATACCATCAAGTTATTAAAAACTAGACTTAATGATCCTAATTTGATTCTAAGAAAAGATATTATGAATTTTAATGAGTTTTTCTCTGTTTACGATGCTGCTAAGTTTTAAAAGAATTCATATATGGAAGAAAATAGTTCAAACTCATGTACCCTGATGATCAAATCTTCCTGCATAGGCTTAGAAGGACTTCACCTTTGGATTCATGCTTCCACTTTCAAATAAAGTGAGTGATTGTCTCAGGTAGATACATTCCAGTGAGGGATAGGCCACAGTTGGGATAAGACCTCAGACTGCTCTCCTACAACTTTGCCATGAACAGGAGCCAAAATTTAAGCTCTGACCCAAGTGACCAGCTGTCACTGGTGACAAACAGGAGCTGAGCTTATCCTTTCCTATAAAATACGGTTAGTCAGGGAGGAAGGTCAAAATTATGGTATCTGTGATGGTTAAATAAATTAATTACAAGTTTTTATTTTTATTAGCCATTTTTATGTTTCTATTGCAGAACTTAGTCTATGAAAATAAAAATGTCATAAAAATAAATACCCCTATAATAGATAAAATATTGAAACCAGTTATGCAATTACTTCAAATCCTAATTTATGGTTTGATCTCCAGAGGTAAATAAGTCATACATTTCTCACTTTTTTAAAAAACTTCTGTTACAATAGAAAAATCTTCAACTTGAAGATTTGAATTTGTTATATTACCTGGTATGTTGGAAAACAAAATGCTAAATCATGAATAAATTATATTTAAATATTATTACCCTAGATCTTTTACATTTATGGTTTTAACAAAAAATCGCATTGAAACAGTCATATTCATTCTTTTCCTGCCAGTAACTGTTTAGCCATAATTTCTTTCTTGGTTTCTCTGGTCTCTCTTTCCTTTTCTGTATGTGTGCACTTGTTTTGGGGTAAGAATCCTGTAGTTTTCCCACTATATCAGCTTTCCAATTATGGTGCTGGGAGAACTGTTGTCAATGTGCTAGGAAACAATTTGTAAGCACTGGTAACTTTTTTTTTTTTTTTTAATCTCAGGGTATGTTTAAAAGCTTTCTTTCTTTTTTGGGGGGGTGGTGGTAGTGGTGTTGGGGATTGAACCCAGGGCCTTATGCGTGCAAGGCAAGCACTCCACCAACTGAACTATATCCCCAGCCCTTAACAGCTTTCTTTTTCAAGCAACTCCAGAAATCTCAAAGTCTTGGACACAATTTAGAATTATGTCTTTGCTCTGTTTATAGGCAATTTTGAAATTTACTGACAAATATGCTGGGATAAATCAATTAAGATGCAGATGATAAATTTGTAGATGAGGTTTCTGAAAAAAACATATTTGTAGGTGAATTCTGATAAGGTTTCTAAAAATTTTGTTATGATCTAAAATTACTTGATTTGATATAAATTGTCTTAAAATTACAGCTTTTAAAAATTAACTTCTCATAAGAAAGTACAATAAAATCTCAACGACTTTGGAGGCTGAGGCAAGAGGATTGGAAGTTCAAGACCAGCCTCAGCAACTTAGAAAGGCCCTAAGCAACTTCAGGAGATACTGTCTCAAAATATAAAATAAAAAGGACTAGCTATGTGGTTGAATAGTGAAGCACACCCATGGGTTCAATCCATAGTATTAAAAAAAAAAGTACAATCAAATGCCAATCAACATTTTCAAGGCCATATATCTAAAACTATTAAATATTTCATTGTGCAAATTCTACTTAGTGTTTATTTGAAATTCTTTGCCACTGTGCATATTCTCTAACTAATTACAAATAACCTATTTAAAAGAAATTTTTATGCATAAACAGTAATGCATTATTAATTCCTAGATTGCTCTTGGGATAAATGTTATTAAATATCTTAATTGTATTACTACAATATCAAATAACATGAAATTTAGTTACCAATCTTCTAACCACAAATACCAGAGAAAGAGAGATTGTAACAATTGAACTGATCAGACAAGATTATGGTTTACTCATGCCAATAATTATTGAGTTGATAAAAAAATATAAAACACTTCCATTAACCAAAAATATAGCACCATTCTACCATAACAAACTGAAACCTGGCCCAGTCATCTTAACTCTACACTTTCTGATCCAACAGTGACATATCTGAGCTCAGAATCTAAATGTATTTGTTTTGCTGTGTTTGCTTAGATTTTCCAAAGTGCTTTGGTTCCTGATTGCACACTGCTATTGTGTGGATCAAATAATCCCTGGTCACAAAAATATCCCGGGCAGTGACTCCCCTGGCGTCCAGGTTATGAGTGTGATCACTCATTCCACATGCCTTAGGGATGAGCTATCTTTGCCATGATGAGAGATTTCCTTTTCAAGTTTTGTTATCCCCAATACAAAATACTATCATAAACAAAAATTCAAAGTAATTAATTTTAAAAAACATGTTGCATGTACTGAAATCTTGTTTAAGATAGCATTGACATTTGGCTTATCTTTCCTTGCTGTCTTTTACTGATTTAGAACAGAAGAAATTTTAAAATATAGTCTTAGAATTGTAAATATCTATTACACTGACTTCTTCTTCAATGCAAACCATAACCAGGTATTTTAAACTGTACTTTTGCCACGTATACGCTAGATTTGCCAGTTTTATTCTCCTTCTTGTGGTTCATGGTATTATGAAACAACTTAGGAGGGGAAGAAAAAATGTAAAAACATTCTGTAAACCTTTTCTTCTCCCCCCCACCCCAATCTCTCATTATGGCTTGGTCAGTGAAATCATATATTTTAGGTACTGCAACTCGTTTTATGATAGCGGCCTTCCAATATTTCAGGATATGCTTGGCTTTTCCTGAACTTGGGCAGAGGTACAGCTCACAGAGTAGGGCAACGTCAGTCTCAGTCTCCTCCTCTGCGCGATCCCGGGATCCAGGCATCTCCCAGATTCCCTGCGCTCTCAGATTCAGCCCTTGGCGTGCTGCTGACCAAAGTGACCCGCTAGGTTGGGAAATGACATCTGGTGCGGTTCCAGGGAAAGGACAATCTCTTTAAAGATAACGGGGTTAGAGAGCGTGCTCTCCCGGACTCTTTCTTTCCATCTTTTGCTCCTTAGATTTTTACAAGTTATTTGCAATGGAGTCAAACATGGGTCAGGCAAACAAATGTGTTCTTTCCAGTCACCGTAACCGGATCGCTGCAGCGAAAGAGAACTCGCAGAAGCGTCCAGAGACCGCAGCCAGACCGTCAGTCTGTGGCAAAAGCAACTTCTAAGTGAGGCAGCACAAGCTGCCAGGATGCAGATTTCAGTTCACGGCTAAGCACAGCGACTGCACTGCATTCTCGGCACCCCTCCGACTCTCCAAAAGCAAGGAAGGACAGGGGGAGGGAGGACCAGTCGAAAGCCATCCGCATTTCTGCACGTCGGCGCCACTTGGAAAGCCCTGCAGCTTTAGGACACCCAGAAAGAGAGATGCAAGGGCGGGGAGCCAGGGTTCCTGGGCGAGGGCGGGGAGTGGGGACCTCACCCATCCCGCCCCCCTCCATCCACCCCACTGGCCCCCCGACAGCTGTGCAACTCTTGTAATTCATTGGCTTCACCCACCCCGCCTTCCAAATACCACCCCAATCCAGTTTAGCCCCCTGCCCCACCTTCGCTGACCTAATAAGGCCATGCAGTGTGCTGGGGACCTATATAAAAGGCGAGGACTTGCAAGGGCTCTGCACGACGCGCCCGGAGAGAGAAGACAGAATCCATCCAGCTCCCACAAAGACGACCATGGCCAAGGAGTGGGGCTACGCCAGCCACAACGGTGAGTGCTGCAGACCCTGGTCCAGGATGCTACCAGAGTATATCCTGGCATTGCACAGAATGTAGGCGATTCTAGGGAGTGCTCTGGAAAATGCAGGCCTGGAGTGGGGGGGGGGGGGGGTAAAAACTAACATTTACTGAGCAATTTTTCAAGTGCCAAATGCTGCTGGTCTTTTTGCCTTTATCTCATTTTGTTCTCCTTTATATCGACTTGGTGTTTTCCTTGGATGAAACTGATGCTCAGAGTTCGTAACTTGCCTAAATGATGTTGCTTCTGACTGAGAAGTCAGAGCACCCAAGGTGCAGATCTGATTGTCCCTTACTCCCAGACCCAGCACACACATAATCTCTCCCAGGCTAGTGTTGAGATAAGAATTTCTGCTCCACCTACCCCTTCTATCTAACCCGTGGGAAAAGGATACCTTTGTGTTCTGAAAAATCACAGCGATGCAAAAACTTTATGTGGTCAATGAATTAAGTCTATTTTAAAAGTAAGTCTTTCAGACCATCTTCCTGAGACAGCAGCAGGAATACACAGAATTAAATATAGCCTCCACATATACTATTAGCAAAACTATGAATAGATCTTAAATACTAAGTCTTATATTGCTCAATTCGAACCCCAGATCTTTTGTAATCATTATCTAGCATCCGAGTATTTTGTTGGCTTCGTCAATTTGAAAGAGGCCTTAGTTATTGGGTTGTACCACCAAATAAATAAATCTCAACTCTTGTTTCCTAGGTCCTGATCACTGGCACGAACTTTACCCAATTGCCAAGGGTGACAACCAGTCGCCCATTGAGCTGCATACTAAAGACATCAAGCATGACCCTTCTCTGCTGCCTTGGTCAGCATCTTATGATCCTGGCTCTGCCAAAACCATCCTGAACAATGGGAAGACCTGCAGAGTTGTGTTTGATGACACTTATGATAGGTCAAGTAAGTATAGCACTTAGATAGGGGCACATGGATGTTTTCATTGTTTGTTCTGGCAAATGTGAGTTATGACATGGTAACAGAATTAGTAGGAAGAGGGAGCCCTTCATCCCTGAACATGGAGATGATGTGACATTCAACTTTGCTTTAGTTGTGAAGAATTATATTTATGCAATGAAGAGGAATGTCTCACCCTCTAATTCTGATACGTTGTTGTTGCAAAATGGCCCCATGCCCAAGCTAAGAGTTGGCAATGCTTTCCTGAAATGGGAGCTTGATAGGACAGCGATGGCAATGAATCCAAGTTAGTATTCCAACTCCGATGGCCAATAGCCGAGGGTTCTTGTGCTTTTTTGACCACAGTGCAAGGAGTGCAAGGCTCCCACTCCTTGTTTGACAGAGATTCCCTTCTACAAAGCAAGAAATACAATAAAGAAACATGAATTTTCTTCCCCTGGTGCCCAGAGGAGGCCAAACCAGGGGAGAAAAGAGGCCTTCATATGGGTGAAAATGCCTGGGCTTCAGGGCTTCAGTGGGGTTCATTTGATTTATCCTTCTAGTGAGTGTATTTTGTAGTATCTGATCTTCTTTTTCTTGAGTATTTGTGTGTGATAAATTATCTTTTCTTTTTTAAAGTTTAACCTACCCTAGTAAACAAATCAATGAAATAAAAGTACAATTAGAAATGTCTTATTTTACCATAAATGAGGTAAGCAACACTTTTTCTTTAATAATTTATGCCTGATGTGTATAACACACTTTCTTATAACCACATTTCTAATTAACTTAAAATTATCCTTATTTATATACATACATGAATGTTCTTAGTGATGTAAAAAAGAAGAGTCAGAATTTCTGTCTACCAGAAGGTTCCAAGTAAGTAATATAATAGAAGTTTACTTTTTCTTAAACAATAATTTCATGTTGCTCTCTCTCCTTTCTCACCACTGAAAACAAGATCCATTTTGAAGGAAAAGCAATGAAATTTGACAGTTTTCATTAGGTTGAACCACATGAAAAATGCCATTTTTTAAGCAGTCAATAGTTGAATATTTGCAATTTCATGTAATGTATTTAATAAATTGGACTCATATGTCCAGATAGTAACTATTTCAAGCAATTGGATAGAAAAAATACAATACCTCAAACCACTTTCTTCCTTCATGACCAAGCTCAAACAGGCCTAGCATTATCGTTTTACATCTTTGTCCCACTTAGAGTGGCCAGTCATTTCCTAAATAGCTTCCCTCTGAATTCTATTTTGATAGCTTATGTGGCTAGATCTTGATTTTAACGTTTCTGCATAGTTTCCAATGTCCTCTGGAAGATATTTGAACCTCTAAACTCTTCCCTAAGCTGAATGAACTGAGACATTCATTCAAGAAACCCAAATTATTGCTACCAAGAATTACCAAGTTTAGCAGTCCACAGTGATTGATTTCCTGGGAAATTTATGAATTTTCAATTTCATCTGATTTGAGTAGACAGAGTCTAAATTAGATGTGGGTGAAAGTTCTTGCTTGTATTCCTAAAAAAAAAAAAAAAAAAAGTGTACTCGAAAGCAAGACATACATGGAGGAGGAATTCATGTACGTGCACACTGATCACCATGCAGGCATTGTGATGAACACCATTAAGGTGTTTAATCTCAGTTAATCCTCACAGCAGCTCTGAAAGTGTGGAATTATTATCACCTTCTCAGAGATGCAAAAATGATTCAGAGAAATTTAGCAACTTGTCTGAAGTCACACAGCTCTCATGGGGTAGAACTAGGATTGGAACTTAAGTCTATCAACTGTCAAGTTCTTCCTACACACCACATCTCTGATCTGTTCTTTGGGTATACACATTCTTATTGTCCATCTGTTATTCAAATTTTATTTTTCTAAATGTTCAAATCAAATGTGATCCTGCAATCTGTACACGTGGAAATAATAAGAATTCATACCCCATTTGAAACAAATGTATGATATATGATATGTCAAGATCAATGTAATGTTTTGAGCAACTAAAAAAAAATGTTCAAGTCACATTTTAAAAATAATAAAACAAGCAAACAAAACAAGAAGGACAGAAAAGAAAGCACCTTATTTTGATGTGTCTCTCAAGACTTCATTTGGTGAGGAGATTGGTGTGCTTGCGAATGGCTCCATCTGCCCAGTAGACTGACCACCTCTTGCTGGTAAGAGTACCTGTGTAAAGCAGGGCTCTCTGCAGGAAATGTGAATTACTGCTGACCTTGCTTATCCAAATCACAGTGCTGAGAGGCGGTCCTCTTCCTGGGCCCTACCGACTTCGCCAGTTTCACCTTCACTGGGGCTCCTCCGATGACCACGGCTCTGAGCACACGGTGGATGGTGTCAAGTATGCAGCAGAGGTAGGAGGAACGGCCAGAATCTACTCTAGGTCTCCCACATTGAAAACTCAGAGATTAAAAAGAACAAGTGCAGCAATTAAACAATACCCATTGTTTTTGCTTCAAGCCTGTAGTGAAAAGAGTTGTAGTGTCAGCGTACACTGGAGCTGCCAAACATTCTAGGCTAGACAGTAAAAAGGGGTGTGCGTGGGTTAGTGTTAAGCATGAAGACTTCCAAGGTTCTATTAAGAAATCAGCTGCTTAACATAAAAAATGCCAGGGTTCTGAATGGAACTAGAACAATAAGGATAGCTAGTATTTATTAAGTATGTACATGATGGACTCATTTAATCCTCTCAGCAGCCCTAGGCAGTAGGTTACAGGTAAAGCAATGGAGGCACAGAAAAGTAACATAACAGGTACATAGTTGATGAGTGCTAGACCTCGTGCTTTTCTTTATGCAGATTGGCTTCAGAGTTCATCATCTTCCCTCGTGCTCTATGCTGTCTCTTATATAAGAACATAATGTTTTAAAATTTGCAGTTAATAATTCTGACTAATGCTCACATTGTAATTTTTAATGAAGGTGTGCATATAAATGTATGCATTATGTAACCCATATATATGTATATATATATAATTTAATATAAGCAAATACTACGCTTTGTCTCAGCCCATTAAAAATATCATGACTTACAGCTCAGATCAAGACATTACACTACAAAGAGAATAAGAGAAGCTACCTCTATGATCTCTTTGTAAAGTCAAGCCAGTAAGTAGTGCCCTAAAGATGAGGATACATTCATTTTTCCCACTTCAGTCTTTCCAAGGGCAACCTCTGGTCAACATAGTGGCTGAGGTAGGAACTGGAGGCATGTGGGAACATTCTCCTAACTGCCTATCATTAGGCAGCACAATTGTTTTCTAAATTAAACTCTTAGAAACCCAAAGTACTTCATTATGATCAGTCCATTTCTCTGTAGCCAATTTAGGAGCCAGTGCCAAGAGTAATTATTTAGAATGCTTTGCCATTAGACATCTTCTCCAAAAATGGGGAAAGTTTAGGCTATTTTTTACAGATGTGGGAAAGCCCTTGGGTTTGACCTTTACCCATGGGATTATTACTATACTTTTGATCTTTAATGAAATATTTTAACTGGCATAAACTATTATATATACATTTTTTTTTTTGCCACGCTAAGTAACTCAATATGGAAAACCTGATTAACTTAATGGGTGCACATGTTCTAAATTAAGATAAGGTTGCCACTAGGTTCTAGGGCCCTGGCTATAAGGAAGTAGGGAATTTCAAACACATTTCATTTGAACCATTAACAATTTCACCAAAGTATTGCATGCTATTATTTAGAATTTTATCAACTTCTATGAGAATGTGAAGCAACAATCCTTAGAATGCACCTGTTTTTGATTTATTGCAAATGTTTTTTTTACTCGTTTTCTTATTCCAAGGATTTACCTCATAACCTGTATTTTATGGTTTCAGCTTCACTTGGTTCACTGGAATCCAAAGTATAACACTTTTGGAGAAGCTCTGAAGCAGCCTGATGGAATTGCTGTGGTTGGCATTTTTCTGAAGGTAAGGTAAAAATCGACCATATTTTTTAATTTAAAAAATGTAGTCCCTTATCAATGATGAGGATACTATGATTTCCATTCCTTCCTGATGGTCTGAGGGGTGTATTTGCATCTTTTCCTTCCTCCACAGACTGATCATTACTCACTCAAGTAATCCAGACATTTTTGCTAAAATAAACTCAGAGTACTTTTTTGCTAAAAGTATTTCTTTTTCCAAACTCCAATACCTGGTACTTCTAAATTTTCTTAAGATGTTTGTGTGTGGAGAGTTGGGGATAAAAACTCAAGGGACCTTATTATGGTGGTGAGGAGGGTGAGGGTGGCATGTGCTCATTATTCTTTTCACTACTCTGTTTCAACTGCACTGGAAACCAGAAAAGCCCATGTTGGGAACTTCTGTGATGCCAAGTAGCTGGCTGGACATCCCCTCAGCTTAAGGTGGCCACCACCCACATGATCCCCGGCTAAGATAGCACATGGAATGTGTGTGTTGTTGAGCCAGCCTTGGTTTAAAGAGGACTTAGTATCATTAACACATGAATTTGGTTGTAACACAATCTAGATTTTAAGCCAGAGGTGAAAATCTGGTGTCTTTCTTTTTGAATGACCTAATTTGCTTTATGTTCTGAATTGACTGGGTCATTTTCAGGGCTGGAACACAACACAATAGGAGCTGAAGTGGGCTTGAGAGGAAAGACAATGGATTTAGTTTCAGACACATAAAGTTCACTCTAGCTCTAACTCTATTAAAAAAAAGAAAAGAAAAGAAAGAAAGAAAGAAAGAAAGAAAGAGAGGAACAATTTTCCAGAGAAGGTCAAGGGTGTAGAACTAGAGCAACATGTAATTTTGTGGTTTTGTACTTCAGAGGCCTAAAGTCTAAGTTTAGATCAGAAAATGTATCCTCTAAAATCTGGGGGTGGGGGGATAAACTCATGTTTTTGCTTAGTACAAGACATTCTGGCAGAGTTATAAACACTAGTTGCATATGATGGATCAAAATCAGTTTTTAAGACAATCTTAAATTATGGAGAGGGGAAAACATCATGTGGGATTTCAATTTTCTTCTAGATAGGACGGGAGAAAGGCGAATTCCAGCTTGTACTTGATGCACTGGACAAAATTAAGACAAAGGTAAGAGAAAATAATTTGCCTCCTAAAGCATAAGGCAGAGTACATCAGTTTTTTCTTTTACACTCTCAAGTGTATTTTTTCACCTAAAATCAGTTGCTATGTCCAATAGATATGCTCATTTGCATATAAAAATAAATGCCATTATATTTGTATGGTTTATAGTTTTTAGAGCAATTTCACATTTCAAATACATAGTTCAAGGAAGTGGGTGAGAATCAGAGCAATGAAGTGGTCACCTTGCCCTCTCCCTCCCCACCTACATACATGCCCAGGATCTCAGAGATTCTCAATGTAAGCCATGCTGGTCTTTTAAATCCTGGTGCTGCCCTATATATTTTCAATCCTAACAGTTGACTCATCTAATTAGCAGACACATTTTAGTTGTCTTTGGGACTATTCAAATTTACTGCTATTAACTTTTTTTTAAAAAAATATATTTTTAGTTGTAGATGAACACACAGTATCTTTATTTTTTATTTGGTGCTGGGGATCGAACCCAGTACCTCACACGTGTGAGGCAAGTGCTTTACCACTGAGCTACAGCCCCAGTCCCCACCTGCTATTAAGTTATACCACTAAAATAAGTAAGTAATCTGAAATATAGCATTCGCTTAAAATGCAAGCCTGTTATCATCAAGAACGAAAACATCAACCTATATGAAATACTTCTGTTATGTTTTATATACAGTATGAGTTTTATATACAGTATGAGTTTTCCCTCATAAGAAGCGGTAGAATTATAGCTCTGCTAGTGGTTAAAACGATAAGGAATAAAATATTACAATGATTGTAATATTTTCCAATATTACAGCTCCCCAAACCTTTGCCCTTTATTTCTGAAAGGCCTGAGCCTTGGTAAAAAGTTCCAATATCTCTGTTGAACTTGAAATCTATTTGCACAAATGCAATGGAGAGACTTTTGGGGTGTGGCCGTGTGTGCATCAATTCACAGAGCCTGTGCCTTACCTTCTTCCAGGGGAAGGAGGCGCCCTTCACGCACTTTGACCCGTCCTGCCTGTTCCCTGCCTGCCGAGACTACTGGACCTACCGTGGCTCCTTCACCACGCCTCCCTGTGAGGAGTGCATCGTGTGGCTGCTCCTGAAGGAGCCCATCACCGTGAGCTCCGACCAGGTAAAAGGCCACCACAGCGCCTCTGAGGCATCCGCATTTACCACTGGCTGCCCGTAGAAGATGCAGATGCTACACGGAAAAATATGGCTATTGAATGGATACTTAGGAACAACTCTGCTCCTAGAGATTTCACAGCTTGCCCTGGTTAATTATAATCAGGTTGGCACAGGAGTACCAAGAGTACCAGAATAGATGCAGATCGTTTGAAAGTAGTTGTGATAGTAAACAATGACTAAGTTTATGCTCTAAAAACACTTAAGGGTTTAGATTAAGATAAGTGAGTCTACATTTGTTTGAATGTACCCGAAATACTGAGCACAGGTTAGAAAATAGGTTGGCAAATAGAGGCCAGGGAGGGAGAAGGGAATAAAAAAGGATTTAACATTCTTGTGAGGTATATATTATTTCTCCAGTTTTACAGATATTATATGTTGAGTCTCAGAAAGGTAAAGTAATTTACCCATGAAAACACAGCCAAGTGCAGGATCCTAAGCCCAGCTTTGGTCTGTCTGCTTCCAACACTTCTTGGCTTCTCTTCTCAGGCTTCTAGTCTTTCTGTTCATCCAAAGAACAGCTTAGCAACATTTGTTAAGGAGGTTTTCAAGGGGCTGGAGATGTAACTCAGTGGGGAGACTGCTTGTCTGGCATGCATGAGGCCCTGGGTTCAGTCCTTGGTACCTCTCCCCCCATCTACTCAAGAAAAGCTATTTGGGAGAAAGTAAGTGTTCAGAGACATGGAAAGAAAACATTTAAGCAAGTGAACAACACAGAGAACATGAATGCTCCCACAATAGTTACATCAGTCCACCACTGTCTCCTTTGCCCAATTAACATTAACTTTCATATTTCTGCCAGTGTGGATTCACATACATAAACTGACAATTTTATCAAAAGTTCAGATTGAAGGGTCTTACTCATTGGTATAAATATTTTGAAAAAGGAATAAAATTTTTCCAAGAAGAAAAGCTAAAAACATTTTAACGTGAAAATATAATATTCCTATTTTCTGGTCCTTTAATGAAAAAAAGCTCAAAATTGAAAATGACTCTAGTTTCTTTTTGCTCTTTTAAAATAATTGATTTTGGGGGGGCTGGGGTTATGGCTCAGAGGTAGAGTGCTCGCCTAGCATGCATGAGGCACTGGGTTTGATCCTCAGCACCACATAAAGTAAAATAAAGACATTGTGTCCATGTATAATTAAAAAATAAAATAAAATAATCCATTTCATGAACTTACATAATGAAGGCCTATTTGCACCTATGTTAAATTGTCATGCCTTTCTATATAAAATGTGTATTTCATACTGACCTCTCAAATTAAAAGAAGTGTTTCAGAATTCAGGAGGAAATGGTTTGACCAAAGGGTGTGGTGATCTTGAATTAAATGGGGGGCGGGGAGGCTTTACAAACAAACAAAATTATATTACTCAGGAACTGGTAGCTAACTAGCTCTGGAATGAGTGCTGGAGATATGATTTAGGGTTTGCTTGTCCTGTTTAGAAAGTCAGTGATTTCTAACTCTATTTCGCCCACTTGGTTCAAATGCCTTGCTAACCATCTGCCCTGCCCCTTGCAGATGGCCAAACTGCGCAGCCTCTTTGCCAGCGCAGAGAACGAGCCCCCAGTGCCCCTTGTGGGGAACTGGCGCCCTCCGCAGCCTATCAAGAACAGGGTGGTGAGAGCCTCCTTCAAGTGAGCTGCTGTGTCTTGCCCTCTTCAGGAAAGGAAACCTGCCTTTGGAGAGCTTGGTTCCTTGCCTCCTTCTGGTGCTCCTTACCGCAAGTGTATTTCCTGTCCTCACACCTGAGCAAGGATTGTGACAAATGCAGTCACTAAGAAACCAAAGTCACTTTTGACAAGATCTAAAACAAAAGCATGAATTTCACACTTGACCTTTGTTATCATCATCTTTTTTTTTTTCTATCACAGTAGTATTTCTGGTAAGATTTCCAAGAAGAAGAAACAAAAATAGATGAATAAAGACAGAAAAATGGTGCTCAAGCAGTATTTTTCTGTCATCTTAAATTTCACAGAACCTCAGATTTCCTATTTTTGTATTATGAGTTGTCCATCTTACAGAAGTAATGAGTAATTCTATATGTAGGAAGAGAGGTAGATGAAGATTATCTAACCAACATAAGCCAGAATGTTTGTTACACCAAAAATTGAATTGCCAATGTGTTTTACCTCTTAAATAACACCAAAGAGAAGACCATCACTTTTTGAATTTTAGCTACTATCTAGATATCTGGTTTTGATAGTCCATTAAAGGAAATCACATTAGGAGTTTTAGAAGTTTTGATGCGGTATCTGAATTTGCGGTATCTGAATTTCTTCTTCATAAATATGGTTTTCTTTATCTGAAGCAGGGCCATTCATTTTTTATTTCGTTACTTTTATCTTTGCATGCCTATTAAAGCAAAAACTATCTCTAATGTCTAGCATATTCGAGGCTGGAATTAATGATTCCTAGAACGCAAAGGAGTAAATGACAGCACTTGAAGCAAAAGCAGTTGTACTGATCACCAAAACCAATAAAGACATGGACACAAAAGTTGGCTGCTGTGTGTTTTAAAGAAAATGCATTATAAGTGACAAAAATGGAGAATGGCAAACTTTGTGGGTTTGTTTCTGTAACTGAAGTGTAGCAATAAAGGACTCAAGTTCTGGGTTTGAATGTTACATTCCTTAAGTGGGGACCAAGGCAATTAGTGCCAACAAAAGAAATGTTTGACTATATATCCGGAAAGTGTGAAATAGCTCCCAGAGGCCTCAACATTGATTAAAATTCTGGGTTCCCTGCAATGAATTCTACAGTCAGGCAAACAAGTCAGAATGTAGCTCTTATGGCATTATTTCATAAAAAAGCTTAGGAATGACATTGGCCTGACACGGCAGAAGTCCAGATATTTAGGCCTTTAAACATTTAATATCTTCAGACACTGTTATGATTTGGATCTGAGGTTTTCCCCTAAGGCTCATGTGTTGAAAGTTTGGTATCCAATGCAACAATGCTCAGAGGTGAACTTTTGGGAAGTGACTAGATAATGATGTCTTTGACCTCATCAATAAATTAATCCACTGATGGATTCATAATTTAATGGCTTATTGAGAGGTAGTAGAAATGGTAGGAAATGGGCCTGAGTTGAAGGGAGAGTCCTTAGGAACATACCCTTGGGAACTATGTCTTGTCCATGGCCCCTTCCTCTCACGGCTCTCCAAATACTATCAGGTAAGCAGCTTTGTTTTTTTCATACCCTTCCACCATGATGTACTGCATCACCTCCACCATGGTGTACTGCTTCACAATAGGCCCAGAAATCACAGAGCCTGCTGGCCATGAACTTAAACCTCTAAAAATGTGAGCCAAAATAAATCTTTTCTCCTTTAAGTTGTTTTTCTCAGGCATTTTGTCAGAGAGGCAAAAAGCCAACACAGAATAAAATCTATTTTTGTTGTTAGTGACTTTGATCATCTTTCATTACTTCAGGGTTAATATGTTAACTATTTGAGAAAATGGCAGCTATAAGTTCATTACTCTAAGGAATGAAGAAGACAGTATTGGGTCAGGAGAGTCCTGAGTTGCTGGAAGTCAAGTCATGTGATAGAGTCCTGTGAGGCTACCATTATTTAATAGAGTACCACTTGGGTGAGGTGAAACCAGGTTGGTCAGTATGAAGTGGATGTGTTAATTAAATCCCTTGAAATTAGGAGGCGTGGAGCTTTGATCATTAGTGGTAACACACAAGCTCATTCTCTCAGGGTACTTACTTAGTAATGCCAGGGCACTGTAAAAATGTATTCAGTATTCACTCTATGTGAAGAGAAATGCATAAACTACAGACAGGTCTTATTCCATATACCAGCTGGACAAGCCTGGAGTTGTTTTGAGGGAAAATGCTGGATCAAAGGAAACAGAACATAAGCTCCATTAGGGCATGGAGATGAGTCTTGCACACCAACATTGACCTTATTGCTCAGTAGTGTGTCTGGCACTTAATAAGCACGGAGTAAGTATTTGAATGAATGATGTCATGAATATAGAGGAATCCAGGAAAAGTACTCTTCTCTTTGAACCACATAGTTCTCTACATGATTAATACTAAGACTGGATTTTGCTTATCTTATATCATCTTGGAAAATGCTCTGCAGCTTCGGGTGGGAGATTTCCAGTAGAACATATTCTCCCACAATATGAATGATTGCTAATGACCACAATTATCATCCAACTTAAAACTTCTTCTCAACTTCTCTTTTCCCTCAAAGTGCAGCAACATTATAAACGTCCATTGGAATATTGAAGGAAAGAAAGAAAGAAAGAAAGAAAGAAAGAAAGAAAGAAAGAAAGAAAGAAAGAAAGAAAGAAAGAAACTGTTCCTCAGGGTATTGAAGGCATAAGTTATTTTCACTTCAGCCACTAGATGACAGCAAAATGTTTAAAAACATTCATATGGTTCGCTAGATGGCAGCAAAATAATTACAAAAATGATTGAAATTCAAAGTCATTGTTTTATTCACATTAATTCCAGAGCAATAAATTTAAAAAAAATTAACCAAAAACCTATTTCCCTTATTCAAGTACTTATTATTAAATATTAATATCTGTCTACAAAAGAAAAAGTAGTAAATTCCTACAATTTTTTTTTGAGAATCTTAATAGTAAAAAATGAGGCCTGAGGGGAAAAAGGGTACTTATTGAACTAAAATTTAAATATATAAGAAACAAACATTTTAAAGTCCTATTCAATATTCAGGAGTACTGGGGTCAAGCCAAACAACATTGGCTGGCTATAAGGTCTTGGGCAATTTAATTTATTTGTGTCTGTCTTCTCATCTGTAAATCAGAATAATAGTATTACCTTCCCAGAAGGTTATAATTAAGAACTAAACAAGTTAAAACAAGTAAACCGCTGTGATAGTCATTCTGGCCCAACTCTCAATAGGAGTTAAATCTTTTATAAATTAATTTTACTTCAACCAAGAAATATATTACTAGCTTATTCTAGTAATGCCTAAATCATGCTTTTTTTTTTACTTGCAATGTGAATCTACAATTTATTTATTCAGATTATATTAAAAAGAGTTACTATCATGAACTCACTTCTGCTTGCTATTGGGGGAAAATGGTAATGTCAAACACTGACTGCAACTCATTCTATGTATGCAGCTGGAAAACTAAGACGTGGCCATGTGGAACCAGCACATTGCTAGAAGAGGTAATACAGAGGAGGACCAGATGATTTTCCCTGATGAAGCTTCTGTCCCAGGAGCTCTGCACCTTACTTGTGGAAGTGCATAGTTAGCAAAACATCCTGAAGATAAACCAAAGAGGAGAGCCGGGGGAACTATGGTGCTTGTTCTGTTCAACATTGACTCCCAAATGTTGATGAAACACAGTCCCTGGGAGTTCTGCATAAAGTGGAAAATCTGTCTTAATAGTAAATACAGAAACTTTCCTGCCATGAAATTAATTTTGAGCTTGTCTGGGCATGTCATAAAATCAGAATGCTGAATAACATGTACCAGTCACTCCTGGGAGGAGGGTTTATATTTTGGGGGTGATTCAATTCCAAGTGAACAAAAGGAGAATTCCAAGTGAACAAAAGGAGATAAGACAATCTAGGTATAAAATCTATGATCAAGGGTTTGGCTAGAGAGCTAATCAACTGCAGATGTGAAAGTGTTCAGTAGGTGCAGCCACCCGACAACTTGACCAGGTAGATAATCACAGGTAATCAGCAGGAGTAAAAGCGAGTCTAACAGTTCAGTCACAGGGGACCAAGTGCACTGCAGCGGCAGAAAACCCAGTGATTTAAAAGCTAATTTTAGCCAGGTGAGAATCAACCGTGCAGTAAACAGGGAATCCATTCTCCCTCGTATTTAAATCATTCCCAGGTAGAAGAATCTGAGGCCTCAGGGAAAATATTTTGGCCATTAAATGTACATTTTTCTCTGTTCCAACTTGTCCCTGAATTTCTATGATATTCATGCAACATGCACTTTGCAACGTGGATGGTTCCAAACACATTTGTTCAAGGGAAGTCATTCCCTAAAGGGCACCGACTCCCATGAAAGTATGATACAAATGCAAGTGTTTGAAAATATGAGGCTCACATCTGCTCCTCTGTGTGGTGATAAGTTTAAAGCAGGACCTAAAGCATTATGGCACCTGGATGGATCAAGACCCAAAGAGGGGGGTCTTGGAAGATTATGCAAGTCAAGCAGGGGAGAAGGAAGAGCAGGGTACAGTGCTGGGCAGAACTGAGAACTGAAAGGCTTATGAGTGAACACGTAGGAGCCTGGGTGCTAATCAGGAGTGACAAGAATACTTTAAAATTCTAAATGTAATAAAACTTGAAGTGTTTGGGGAAAGAGGGAAGAGGCGAAGAGAATGAAACTTGCAGTTAATGAAATTTGGTTTCCATTCCCATTTCTGCCACTCATCACTTATTGACCATAGAAGATTAATTTTTAAAGTCTCAGTTTCTCAATTTTTATGAGGAAAACCTAAATAAGATAGACTATGTAAAACAAGATGACTGAAACATTATAAGCCTTTTTAAAAACAAGATTTTTAGAGTTTTACTAGTTTCCATTTGTTTTTATTGAAGGCATGTGAATGGGCCCATGTGTCTGTATGTGATGAACAGTGGGGAGTGAGGCTTAATGAAGGCAGGGACTTTAGCTCTCTTGGTACATGACCGAGGCCTTAGGACCCAACATGGAGCCTGGAACCTGGTCAGAGTTCAAAGATACTTGTTGAATGGATGGAGGAATAAATGGATGGAATAATGGATGGATGGTGACATGAGACTCCTAAAATATCAGTCTAGGTCTAGGTCCAAGAGCTTATGGGAGCTAAGTCCTCGTTCTGTTTCTGCAACCCAGGCTTCTCTGTAAAGAGAATATTCATGGAAAAAGAGAAGCAGTTTTGCATATACCCAAACTTCTTATTGGCATGTTTAAATTTTAAAAACTAACAACACAGAAGAGACATGTTTAAGGAGATATAAAAGGTGATTCTCTACCAGGATATTTATCTCTTTTAGCACTTGTGCTTCTATATGCAAATTGAAGAGGGAGATTGGCAATGAGCCTCTGACACTAGGTCTGATGATACTAATTGGCATAGTTCATCTTGGCACTTAACTTTCTGTAAGCTGGCCTTCATGTTCTTATTAATGACTTTAGGGCTCCATTATATTCATCTTCTTTTTAATTTTATTTTTTTAGTGCAATGTAGTTGTATATACAACTACATTTTGACATAATCATATATGTATTTAGCATAGTTCATTTCATTCAGTTTTGTGTGAAGACATTTATAGCAATTCCACACATGTAATAAAGGAACTTCTTCATAATTCAAATGCTTGTTCCATATTAGCAAAGTATAATGCTTTTAAAAATTCAATAAGCATTCCCAACCAACACATTCTGCTCCACCCCAGCCAAGGAGATGGTAAATTCAGGTCAATTTTCCATTCTCCACAAACAACACAGATATACATGTTCAGGTACTTATAATTACTACCTAGAGCTCACTTTTTAATACAATTGAGAATATTTTGAAAAAACTGCCTCAGATAATGTATTGCCAGAACTCAAAGTCTATTCCCATGTGGGAGAGTAAGGACGGTACCCTGTGGCTCAACTCATAACTTGATTTGT